TATCTTCTCCCCCTCATAACCCTCTACTCACTAGTAATGCAACTTTGTCCATGTACGTCAGCCCCGCAGATGGTTCCCAACTGAAAATGATCCCTTAAATTAAACTCTGACTGATCCCGAACCGCTCAAGCAACCCACTTAAAAATTCAGGAATGGCATGGATACAGTGAACAGAGGAACACGTAGTAGCATGTGACATCAACTATCATTTTTTGCTGCGCTTTTGGCAAACATGAGCACAACGACAAAAAAAAAAAGTGATGAAAAGGCAGTTGGCATTCAACAACTTTCAAACTTATGAAAACTGTTAGAAGGAAAGGTGTCTGAAACAATTTTTTTAAATAGTCTATACAGTCCTGCCTTTCTACCTGTAAAAATTGATATTTAATTCATGAATGGGTAAACTTACAGAAGGAAATTATGGGTTGAAAGCCCTGACCTGGTGCAGAAACAGGAATTTTTGGTGGGAGAGTGGACAGAAACTTTTATTGATCAGCTTAGTAGTTTATTAACTTTTCTAGAAGGCCAATCTAAGTCAATTAACAAACAATGATGAGAAGTAGGAATGTAGGCTAGTTCTTGGACAATAATGATTATTTGACTGGGAAGGAAATCGTAGAATATTCAAAAACTGAACCAAAATATACTCATATGAGAGTTTTAAATAGTGCCATTATAAGGTGTACATGAAAATTGCCTAACATCACATTTCACGAAATAACATTGAAATCCACATATGTCAGCAAGGTACTCACCCACAAGCGCTGATTGGTTTGTTTGCATGGGATTTCAAGTTTCTCATTTTGTTGCTTTGGGTAGCTTTCATGGCAAAACCCTCTGTTCTTCTGGCTGATACCAGTTCCAAAAGCTAAAATTTCCTGAGGTAATTTCTCACAATGAAAATCAGTCACACCTGCATACTTAAGTTTCGCGTGGACTGTTGTCAAGTCTCATGTCCTCATATACCCTAAGTGGCACAGCATTACCAATGATTTTCACCCTTACTAACCCTTAACTCCCATGATTGACCAAGACAGAATTTCTCCTTACAATATCAATACAATATTAACCAGATAAGTGATGAGAATAAAGAAAAATATCAATTTGGGGTTAATTGGTTGATCCAATACTAAATTCTCAAAAGTAACATCATAAGAATTGTATGGTTGACAGTAAGGAGAATGACAGATTTGATCTGGGAGTTAAAGAGTTAAGCGGTTGTGATCACCCTTGACTGAGTCCCAACTGCCTGTTTGTATTGTCTTCACCTATGCTGGGTGGTCACATCAAATGGAACCACCCAAATAAAACTAAGAATAATTTCTAAAGTAAAATTTATATATTTTGTATTTTATTTCCCAGAATCAACATTAGTACTTTGAGTTCAATGTCCTCAACGCATTGCAGATTATCTTTCTTCTTAGGACTGTTAGGACAAATATTATGCACAAATATCACTCAAGTCATTTGCTATTTAATGACCTCGAAGTCCAACTGTACCATAATAAATCGTGGGCGGCACGAAAAAATTAAACGAACTGTATGCTGTCACTGTGTTAACAACAAAATAATTAAATAAATTGATTGGACTCAAGGCAAGATCTTGAAAAAACATTGACACTGACTGCAACAGTTGGAAAGTTCTATCTTAATGCGGTTGGCGATGCTGAAGTGCCATCTAGGAATTTACAAACCTGTAATGTAATCAGGAAGATTAGATAATCCACACTTGTCCTCAGACACTGACAGCCATCTCTGTAAGAGTCTCGTAAGATTTCGCAAAATCAAGGTTTACCGAACTGATTCACAAAGCTGTGTCGTACAAGTATTGAAAAGAACTGGTCAATGATCTTTTCACGAAAATAAAACAAACTATTGACCTCATAACATACCTCCTCTACTGTTGCAGCCATTGTCGTCTCGTCCGCAGAAACTACGTGCGTGACAGCCGGTCACGTGCGTCCCAACGATTTTCCCATTCATCGCGCGATATTTTTATTTCATCGCGTGATAAATAGAGAATAATACATCGGCGCACGTAGATATGGAATTTCTCTTTGAGTGTTTAACTCGAGTTGAACACGAGAAGAGAAATTTCATGTCTACAAGTAACCATGTATTATTTTGTTTACCATATAAATACAATAGCCCTTTACTGACAAGAAAAGTCAACTTTACTATTAAATGAAAGTTGTCGATTTTTGCTCTCAGCCGCGAGAAATGCCATCACCAAAGCCACCGAATTCGTAACTTTCAGTTTTTCTTTCCGCATTTTGGAAATGGACGTCACTGTTTGTAAGCGATACGGATTTTTCAGGGTTTTAGCAGCCATTATCCACACAAATCCCGACAAGCGATCTTGAATTGAGAATGGTGAAAGTTTCACCGTTCATTCATCAACCCTGACCGAGTGGCGCGAAAGGCGAGTAACGTATCAGCAGCTGATTGGCGATATCAAACACACGTGGAAAAAAATACGATATATTTTCACGAGTGTTGTTGCTACTTTTCTCAGGGCTTTTCATATAAACCATAGTTTATATGAAAAATCTCATTTATCACGTGGTAAGATTGAATTAAAAAATGGGATAGCTTGTCCTCTAGGGGCAGCCGTATATTTACGTTATTTTAAGTCATTTAA